TACCAGTAATTAACATATGGCAGACTTTTGGTCTCTACATTGCAAACATCTGGATGATTGAATTTTTACTATAAGCAATTATGAACATTATTAACAGAATTTTTAATGCAGTTTATATGATATATATAATTGTGTGGAAATGAAAGTATAATATAATGTTAATTCAAGAAACCAGAAATAAACATCTTACTATGATACGACCAAAATTAGAATATGCATGAAAAACAGGCTGAAAAAAATTGCCAAAAAAGCCAACTGAGATTTTCTTTGGGAGTGGTACTGATTATTTTTTTCCTTGGTTCTATGCCTTTTAAAATCTCTGTAAAGTTTTCTTACTTTTGTTTTTCTTGTTACTATGAAAATTTCCAAACACACAAAGAAAAAGCATAATAAAATACCAGGTACCTATCAGCCAGCTTCAACAACCATCAAAATTTAGATACATATGTGTCATCTTTCCCCGACCTGTTTTTATTGTTTCTGGAGTATTTTAAAGCAAATCTCAGACATCTTGTCACTCTATAGACTTAAAAAGGTCATATTCTTACATGACCACAATATCATTTTTTCATCTATTAAGAAATAAACAAAAATTCCTTAATATTGTATAATACTGAACCCATACTGAAACATCTGGAATTGCCTAAGACATGCCTTTATACAGTTGGTTTGTTTTTCAAGAGAATCCAAACAAGGTCCAATTACTGCATTCCATTACACTTCCAGAATCCTAATCCAGCAGGATTATGGGCTGGGTTGTCCCCTCAAAACTCGTATGTTGAAATCCTAACCCCTAGAACCTGAGAACATGACTATTTTTGGAGATAAGGTCTTTAAAGAGGTAACTAAGTTAAAATTAGGTCATTAGGGTGAGCCCTAATCCAATATGACTAATGTCCTTCTAAGAAGAGATTAGGACAGCACAGGTACAGAGGAAGGACCATGTGAAAACTCAGGGAGAAGGCAGCCATGTACAAGCCAAGGAGAGAGACCTCAGAAGAAAGCAACCTTGCTGCCACCTTGATTTTGGACTTATAACCTCCAGAATTGTGAGAAAATAAATTTCTGTGGTTTAAGCCATCTAGTCTGTGGTACTTTGTATGGCAGCCCTAGCAAACTAATACAAACAGAAGAGCCAACATCTGTTCTAATTGGTTTAATGTTCTGATTGGTTTTAGTCAATGAATTTATTGAATAAGTTTGGTTGATATACAGAACAGTTATTTCCAGTAGAGGTTAAATTGTTTTATTCAATAAATTCACTATTTTTATTTATTTAATGTTTTAAAAACCTTAAATCTATTTTCATGAATGACTGGCCAATTTAATTATTATTACTACCACTACTACTCTTAATTGTGTGCCTCTCCTAATACTAGTAGACTGACCTTGGTCATGTACTCTTGATTAATGAGAGTGAAAGCAGCATATTTGCTTTTCCAGTTTGAATGGGGCTAATGAATATGTTAACTATATACTCAATTGCCTACTGGATATATGCCACTGAAACCAAACATCTTTCCCTCTGTACCCATTCTTCCTTCCTTTCCACTGTTAATTAATCAGTCATTCTCCATCCAGTTACCCAAGCCAGAAACTTCAGTACATCTAAAACATTTTCTATGATTTTGAAATACTTTTAAACTTACAGAAAATTTTCAAGAATAGTATAAAGAATTTCAGCTTTGCTCCTAGACCTTTTGAGCAGAGAGACCTAGGGGGGAAAATAGATAGATAGATAGACAGATAGATAGATAGGAAGGAAGAAAGATAGATAGAAAGAAAGAAAGACAGACAGACAGACACATACACATACACATACACAAATACTTTTATCTATATTTATTTCTGTATGTGTTTACATAAATATTGGAAACTGTGAGTTCACACAGACATAATCAATTCCATCCAATCCAATACCACCACAAGAGTCATTCTGGAATTCCTCCTTTTCCTATTTGTAACTAACTAATTTGTTTCTCTGTTAGGGAGAAACTTGGCTCCCATTAGCCTCAATATATTTATTTCTTTGCTTCCCTTTTGTTTAACCTTTATGGCCCTGACATGCTTGCCACCTCTTCATCTGACAAGAGAAGCAGCTGGTCATCATTTTTGATTATTTCCTATCACTCATTCCTCCATCCAATCAATCACCAAGTCCTAACATTCCTACTTCCTAAAAATCTCTTGCATTAGTATACTTCTCTCATTCTGACTGCTCCTACCCTTGCCCATACCACCATCATCTCTCACATGCCTTACAACAACAGCACTTTATCTGATATTCCTGGATCTAGATTTGCTTTCTTCCCATCCATTTATTACATTGCAGCCAGAGTTATCTTTCTGAAATTAAAAGTTTTACTCCATCGTTAAAATCCTTCAATAGTACCTCACTGACCTCACAATACTGCCTTCAGGGTCTCTTCATAACTTGCTTCTCTCTCTTGTCTTACTTCCTCCTAAAGTTGCTAACCTCATTCTAGACCTTTCAGTCAATCAAGCTGAATTGATTTCAACTTGTGGATTATGCCAAGCTTTCTTTTAGTGAACACTATATTCTATCTTTCTCTACCCATAAACCCTTCCCAACCTGGACAACCCTACACATTATTTAGGTCTTTACTTAAATGTCACTTTTACTGTAACATATTCCCTGACACCACTCCTCCCCCACCATCACCAATATACCTCTGCAAGCTATTGTAATGGTCCAGGCCAGAGATGATAACAGGTGTACGTCTCAGCCAGTCTGATAGACAGGGAATGCATTATTAAAATACCTGAGTAAGAATGACCAGCCAGAGTTACAACTTCTTTTTCTAAAAGTTGGTACTTACATTAGAGTTATGAGGATAGGTGCAAAGTACATAAAACACTTAAAATGCAAAGCTTCTGGAAAGAGCTCAATTTATGTTATCTATTACTCATTCAACAAATGTTCGTGAAGTATCAACTATCTGATACACAGTGATAGACACTGAGGCTAGAAAAATTAAAGTATAATGTAAACAATTAAAATATAACTTAGAGAATGAGCGTCCAAAGCATAGCAAGATATACATATAGCAGGACTGTTTGGCAGAATTAGTCAACCTGGTTAAGATTCAAAGGATGGACAACATTTGGGCTGAGACGTGAAGGAGCAGGAGTTTACAAGGAAGGATTCTTCAGGGAGAGGGGACAATATGTGCATGGAAAGATACGGATCATTTTTCATGGTATAATTCAATATTGCTGAAGCATAAAATTGAAATGACGCAATGAGAGATGAAAAGTCAGGGAGATGGGGTATCTTGTATCCTAGACAAAGTAACTTGATTTTCTCCTACAGATCATTTCTGAAGAATTTTCAGGAGGAGAATGGCATTATCAGATTAACATTTTTAGTGAGGTCATTCGGGAAGCAGTGTGCAGAATGGAATTAAGGGAAAAAACCTGGGGCCAAGAGATTGCTAAAGACGCATCTCACAATAATCCCAGTGAGAAGAGATGAAGCCTGGCATGAGGCAGTGGGATTTAAGATGGACAGGACTGCACCCTAGAGGGTTAAAAAGGTAGCATGGACATGATTTGATGTTAAGAGGCATTTAGGATATTCTACAGGAATTTAACTAGGACACTGGGAGGATCAAACCAAGATAGAAATCTAGAAAGAGAATTAGATTTAAAGTACAAAAATGGGGACCCACTGGGTTGGTAATACTTCTCACTGACTTCCCATAGGATTTAGAGAAACAAATGCTTTGTGGGGTGCGGTGATGTCAATGGGAATGGAAAAGCTGGCCTCCAAAGAAATACGCATAGTGCTCTTACCGTACAAACGAAGCAACAGGTTTTAGTGTGTGACAACAACTGCAGAAAATTCGAGACGAGGAGGACTTGTCTAGTACTTTTCCATCCCTGGTGACTCAGAGCTAAAGATGGCGCCTGTGGCAAAAATTAGAACGTGGGAGGGGGCATTTGGTGTAGAAAAAGATGAGTTTTTTTAGGTTGCTGTTCTGCTCTGAACACATAGTGAGATAACTCAGCACCAGACGAATCGTGGGTATTAAGATTTGGTCTGAGTACAACTCTGCAGTCTCCATGCTTCAAAGGAAATTTCATTTCGTGGGCGCGATGGCGTGGGGTAGAGGGGTGATTAGTGTGTTTCTTTGCCTCATTCTTGTTTCTGAGCCTTGGCGGGTTCCACCACAGCCTGACTCACTTTGTCTCCTCGCGTCTTTCCCAGCGCTGGATACAGTTCTGAGAAGAAGAGCGCGTCTTCGGTGATGGTAGCAGGCTCTGGGGGGACACCTGCGCATTCCCAGAGCCCCTTCCCGCTCCA